TCAGCCTGAGAGCGAAGCCCATACGTCGTACATCATTCACTCACTCGCTCACTCACACTTTTAATTGTTTTCTCGTTCAATTCTCTCTATCGAACACTCAAAAATATATCCAATAACAAAATACATTGGTGCGTTTTAAGATCATTTGTTTACATTTGGAAAGCTCGGTAGTTTTTTTACTTCGAATGTCGTATGTTCATACAAAATACATGGTAAAAATGAATCCAACAACAAAATACATGGTAAATACAAAAAATGATCACTCGTTCACTCACACATTCAATCGTATGCTCGATTGCATACTACAACTCTCTCTCTCTCCGTCTCACCACTCAAATGATTACTCTAAAATTCATACATTCATTACATTTGTATACTACTGATTACATTACAATACAGTATTTCTGTTCACTTGCCTATCTAACTATATGAAGAAGAGACAGAGAAAATATCAGCGACATGCACAGACATGATTTGCATTTTAGTTTTGCTTTATTGATGGAATGTTTTGTTTATTTCACGCTCGATCACACACATATGGCTTTGAAAATATACAATTTCATTCTTTATTTCACAATTTCATTCTATATTACTCAATCCGTTGATACGAATCTGAGAGAAAAAGAATATGATAAACCAAAATAGTTACACACACACACAACCACATACATATATAACAAGCAGAGCTGATGCTCATATAAAATATACAGCAAGCAGATCTGTTGACATACTAGTTGGGCATGAAAGAGAGAGAGGAAGAGAGTGAAAACTAGTTTGAATGAGAAATAGTTGTTTAACAGATCTGTGTGTGGAAGAGAGAGAATGAAAAGTATACATGGGAAGAGTATTGTATTTAATCTTATGTGACTGTGAGCAATCTGAAGTTGAAGTGAACGGAATAAGAAAAAAGGTGACACTGCTTTAGCAATGCTTTTCAGACGGTTTGGTATGCTATATTTTTAAACGTAGGAGGAGGGAGACTCAACACCGGTCTCAAAAGGTAAATATTGGAGCTTTCGTATGTCATGAATTTAGGATAATACGTTTTTTTCATAAATTTATTTTGATTTTAGTGAGCGTTCTGTTTGACGGACCATTTTGTAATAGTAATAGATGACCGATTTTGATGAAATTTCAGTATATATTGTGGTCAATATATTGAACTTCAATGCTCAACAAACAAAATCTACAATTTCAATTTTTTCGCATTTAAATTCAAGTTTCAAAGCATAAATTTACCTATATTTCACACACATTTTCTCTTTTAATCTTAAAATAATCATTCACACTGCACTCAAATCCATCTAAATGCATAACAATTTATTAATTATGAACAACAACAACTGAAGCGATGCAAATAATCATATACCATCGCTATAGTTTACGCTACACACACACACGCATACACTTGTTTCTCCTAGTTTTTTTCTCTCACTCTCTCTCACATGCATATACTTGTTTCTTCGATTCACGAATTCCTCTCGTACATTTGCTCTATATTTCATCACATAATGAAATAGCATGAATGGCATCGCTGCAATTGCATGACTAATTGTAGTTTTTAACCTTGAACGAGTTCATTGAACGCATAAGTTGCTGTCGCGATAGTGAACGTTTGTTCATGTTATTGTTGTTGCATTTTACACTATGCTTTTTTGCTACCATTGCGTCTGTTTACATTTTTATTTTCATCAATAATTCGTATTACTTTATGTAAGAATGTTTGATTTGATATTCAATTTAATGCAAATAGTTCGATTTCATGTTAATATTTCGATTTTTGTTTTGTTCATGAAAATAATTCGATTTTAGGTTCAATTTCATGAAAAATAGTTCGATTTGAGGTTCGATTTCATGAAAATAGTTCGATTTAAGGTTCGATTTCCTGAAAATACGCTCGATTTGAGGTTTCATTATAATTAAATGTCAAACATCTGATGATACAACTAGATCAATCGAATTGTAATTTTTGTTCGGTGCGTTCCGAAAGGAACGGTTCATATTGATATACCAAAATAAAATTACGCCCGTGAAAAAAACGTTAAATATCGATGTGAGTAACAATGATGTCACCGTCCTCTAATACAATTGAAGATGTCCCTAGTGTTAAGCTACAAGTGCGTGAAAATGCTTTAATAGACGAATTAACACCTTCGCTATTGTAAACAATGGACATATTGATATTGAAATATTTCTAAGCGATGCCTTTTATATATATCGCTCGGAACTTACGAAAAATATTGAAAATTTTATTAACGTAAAGTCAATGACGGTATTCGTAGCAGAGTTTGAAAAAAAAATTGTAAACACAGATGAAAATAATGATTCTAACGATGATGATGATACTGGCGGTAATCATAGTCATGAGTTAACGGAGAAAGAGACTATATATCTCCCAACGCAAACACGGAAGCTTGACTTGAACGTAGACCTACATGAACATTTTCGAAAACAAATCGTTCAAGAAATAGTGGAAAGTGCAGAACAAGTTACATTCCGCGGTTCCGGATTTACGCTCGCCCGCATAATCGAGTTGAATGTTCACGTTAACTTATACAACCCATTACAAGGTTCATCGTATATTCAAACACCAAAAAAACTACGATATAAAAATGCGATTATTAACGTACAAAATCAACACGATGAAATGTGCTTCAAATGGTCAATTTTATCTGCTTTACATCCAGTAGCAATTAAACCAGAGCGAATTCGTCAATATTATCAATATGAGAACGAACTGAATTTTGATGGAATCGATTTTCCCGTTCGCTTGAATCAAATCGGTAAATTTGTAGAACAAAATGATACTATATCAATAAATGTATACTATTACGATGACGACAATGACGGTCGCATATGCCCATTACGTGTAAGTAATGAAGTTAAACGACATCATATTCATTTGCTGTTGATCAAAGATGGAGAAAGTATTAATAAAACTGAGGAAAGAAATGTTAATACGGCTAGCACTTCCAACATGATTAAGGATATCTGCGATAATGATTCAATTCGTACTCATTATTGTTGGATAAAAAATTTGAGTCGTCTTGTCGGTAGCCAGCTGAGTAAACATAAATCTCCAAAATATATTTGCGATCGCTGTCTAATATTTTATGATACAAATCAAAAATTAATGAATCATATTGCAAGATGTACAAACGAATGCAGCATTGAAATGCCTGATCAAACATGGATATGGATGAAATTTAACAACTATAAACATCAGCTAAAAGCACCATTTGTTGTATACGCTGATACTGAAGCGTATCTAAAGGGACTCAGTATGGAAGATCAGAAACGCATATTTAGTGAGGAATGTGCAACTACCGCATATCAGCAGCATCATATGTACAGCGTTGGATATTACTTTAAATGTGAATATGACGATTCATTTTCATTTTACCGAAACAGCGGCAATCGTACTGATAGCGTCGAATGGTTCATCACAGAATTGAAGGAAATTGCTCATGGAGTTGCAAAATTGTTTGATAAAAACACACCAATGCTACCGTTAACTGAAGATGAGAGATATGCATTCCACGATCCAAATGCATTATGTACAATTTGTGGTGATATTTTTGAAGCAAATGATATTAGAGTACATGATCACTGTCATCTCACTGGTCGATATAGAGGACCAGCCCATCAAGCATGCAACTTAAAGTTTCAAGATAGCCACGTTGTACCCGTTATTATGCACAATTTGTCAGGTTACGATTCGCATTTATTCATAAAAGAGTTGGCAGCAAATAATATTATAGATGGAGATGTTTCAATTATTCCAACTAACGTGGAACAATACATCGCTTTCACGAAAGTAGTGAGTAAGAGTACACGCGGGCTCAATACGAGAGAAAACATAAAATTTAAATTCATTGATTCATGTCGATTCATGCCTGCATCTCTAGCTGAATTAGCATCACTACTACCGGCAGATAAAAAACAAATATTGTATAACGAAGGTGAGAAAAATGGCTACACACCAGAACAAATCGCTATGCTTGAACGTAAAGGAGTTTTTCCTTATGAATATGTGAGCGGTATGGAGCAGCTGATGGAGACAAATCTACCATCAAAAGAAGATTTTTATAGCAAACTTAGAGGAGAAGGAATATCGGATGACGATTACCAATTTGCTCACGATATCTGGCGGAAATTCAATTGTAAAACGCTCGGAGACTATTCTGAACTGTATCTAAAGACAGATGTGCTACTTTTGGCCGACGTATTTGAAAATTTTCGAAATACATGCCATACAATTTACAGTTTGGATCCGGCAAACTACTATACAGCTCCAGGTCTTTCGTGGGATGCCATGCTCAAATATACCGGAGTGAGAATTGAACTGTTATCTGATGTGGAAATGTTGCTGTTCATCGAACGTGGAATTCGCGGTGGCATAAGTCAGTGCAGTAAACGTCAAGTCAAAGCCAACAATAAATACATGGGAGATGTGTACAATAATGAGAAACCGTCAAATTATTTAATGTATTTAGATGGTAAATAATATTTTATTTGTCCAGTTTATCTTTAATCAAATTCATGGTATTTTAGAATCTAATTTCATTTTGTTTCATTCACATTGACAGCAAATAATCTGTATGGACACGCAATGTCGCAACCATTACCGCTGAGGGATTTCAAATGGATTGATGACAAAATTATAAAGACATCTTTTTCGAATGCAGATGAAATAGTCAAATTAGCTGACGATTCGGAATATGGCTATATATTCGAAGTGGATCTACAATATCCAAAAAATTTGCGTTTGCGTGCAGATATTGTTGTGATTTGACAAACCGATTCGAAATAAAATAAAGACTATT